CTTGTGTGATTTTGTAATTACATCTGAATCTTGATGAATAACTCTCACGAAGGTGATTTCAGTCCCTTGAATCCTAATCCTTTTGAAGATCCGAAAGTCAGGTTTAGGCATCATAGCCTTATGCAAGACTATCAAGAACTGCATATGGTACCAACTCTATTTGTTTCTTGATCAAGTTTCAGTTTCTTGGTCTGGTTTAGCTGTCTTTGGATCTGATAATGTAACTTTAGTTGCTCAAGATTTGCTTCTTCTTTTTTTCACCTTGATCTGTTTTCATAGCTGCTCGGAAAAAAAAAACCAAGAAAAAGGGATTAAACTTTTTCTTTTAAATAGAAAGAAGAAACTTTGAGTTTAACATAAAGCCTCTGTTTTTCCTTTTCCATGTGTAGTTATGCAAATCTCTATTAGTATTGTGTCCATATTGTCATGGACTTATTAATCTGTTTTAATGTTCATTTTTCTGATCTTGAAGATCATTTGGTTATGTGTTAGCTTCCATTAACACGTTTTGCTGTTTTGTTTGATTACTCAAAAGGAAACTGAAGCTATGAGACAAAAGTTGCAGACTATACGAGAAAGAAAGGCAACACTTATGTCCGAAGTCCGGTATAGATAGATACTTACAATCCCTTGACAATATATAATTTGGTCCTTCTTGATGTTTTTGCTCAAGTGTTTATGTTCGTTTCTAACCATCTTATCAGATTTCTGCGGCGGAGATACAGACATTTGAAACAAGAGCAGCCACAAGATATCAAAAAGGTCAGAGGAAGATCATCAAATGGTGGGAAGAAGAAGAAGAGTAAGACGCAAATCCGAATAGAAGAAGTGTCTCCTAATAAGTCAAGTAGTGATCATGCGGCCGAAACTAAGCATGTTTCTCTTCCTGACCTAAACGACTCAGGAAGAGTGGTTAACGATGAAACAAAAACAAGTGTTAAGAGGAGAGTTCCATTGTTTGATCTAAACCAGATATCTGTAAGCATCTTTCTGTCTTTCACTCTTAGGACAAAAGATTGCAAGAGGACAAAGTCTTTACTCTTTTATGTTGATTCATAGGGAGAAGAAGAGGAAGAAGCAGTAAACAACAATGATGAAGAAAGAATAAGAGTAGTTGAAGAAAGTAGTTCATGTAAGCAGAAAGAGATGAAGCTATCTTCTTGCAGGAATGGAGGAAATGGTTCTTCAAATAAGAGGAAAATTTCATGGCAAGATCCTGTTTCAGCGCTAAGAGTTTAAAAACAAAGAAACAACCTTTTGTTTTTTCTTCCTCAAGTCATGTATCTCTTTGTAACATAGCTTCACATCAAAATTTGCTTAATCTTGTTCGTTGAAACATTATTATCATAAGCCAATAGTGTGGTTTGAAAACTTTGAAATCCTTATCCTTTTCTCCATTCTTGAAATGGCGTCTTGTAGAATTGACATTTATGTACTGGACACGTGTCGTTTTTAAACGAGTCAACAAAAATCTATCCAAAAGTCAAGGAACAAAAATCAACGTTTCAGAAAGTGTTCACACGTGTCTGAAGAGTCAAGTTTCGTGTAAACTTAAAACAAAAAGACCGATCTTTTGAGTTTTCAGAGACGGAACAAGAAAATATATTTATGGACGAAAAAGATGATCGGTCTGATTGGGGAGGATTGGCTCCAGAGATACTCATCAACATCATTTCAAGGTTAACGATTCAGGAGCGATGGACGGGACCGATGTTCGTCAGAAAATCGTGGCTAACCGTTTGCAGAGATCCGTATCTATGGTCTATCTTCGATCTGGAGCCATGGTTCGAGTCATACCCCGAGTCGACTCGCTTGTGGTCCACTGATTTCGAGCAGAAGGGAGACTCAATGCTCCGATCAGTCGTTGATTGGAGCGACGGAGGATTAACCGAGATCCGTGTCCGCCATTGCAGCGACCACGCGCTCTCTTACGCCGCCGATAGGTAAATTGCGTTTCCTCGTCAAAATCTTGTTCAATGGTGAATGCTTGAGTTTGTGATTTTCTATGGATTTTGATTTTGGACATATCATTTTAGATGCCCGAATCTCCAGGTTCTTGCCATTAGAAGCAGTCCTAACGTGACAGACGCATCGATGACGAAGATAGCGTCCCGGTGCAGGAGTTTAAAGGAACTCGATATCAGTTACTGTCACGAGATATCTCACGACACACTTGTGGTGATAGGTAGGAACTGTCCCAATCTCACGACCCTCAAACGCAACCTTATGGATTGGTCTTCTCGGCACATTGGCTCTGTTCCTACAGAGTACTTAGATACTTGTCCTCAAGACGGAGACACAGAAGCTGACGCGATCGGAAAACACATGGTTAATCTAGAGCATTTGGAGATTCAGTTCTCTAGATTATCGGTCAAGGGACTCGCTTCGATATGCGAGGGTTGTCCGAATCTAAAGTACTTGGACTTGTTTGGGTGTGTGCATTTGTCAAGCCGTGACATTGCGAACAATGTGTCAAGGCTGAAGTTGCTTAAGGAGGTGAAGAAGCCAGCTGTTTATGTGCCGAGGGGAGGGGATGTGGCTCAGACGGAGAGGTACGGACATTGGAGACTCTATGACGAGAGATTCGATATACAATCCATGAGGATCTGATTTTACATTTCACTTAGCAATGTTCTGTAATAAAGCAGCAGCCTATAGTTCTGACTTGGGATTGTGCAAAAGGAAAATGGATTAAGCATCTTGTTTGGCTTTATAACCTTGGAAAAGACCAATTGTAGAGCTCACAATCTTAAGCAATCAAGTTGTACACATTTATGTTGAACTCAACTTATATGGGTTTATACATAGAGTTCTTGTTGACATTACTATATATACTAGTACATCAATTCTTGTAGGGAAAGCAAAAAAAAGAAAAGAAAACCACTTCTTGACAGTAGAAGAAACCTACAAAAGGAAAGAGAGCAGGAGCGAGGAGGCGAATCAAGCGATCACATGGAAGGAGCCTGACGCAAGTGTTGCCGAAGCAGATGTGGTGGTGCGAGGTCTTGTGTACCTTGCCCTTTTCCTTATGAAAACTCCGAGCTTCCTCGTTACACCAGCTTCGTCGTCGCCGTGACCTGAACACAAAAGAAGGGACTGAGACAAGAACAGGAGCAAGATGATTGATAGGATGAGTAAGCGTTTGATGTCACCCATCTCCTCTGCTTTAATGTAATGTAAAGATGGTTTTGGCTCTGGTGTGATTATAAAGAAGCTGTGTATAGTGGACGAAGATATTTTAATAACATTTGGTGGGATTATTGAGAAATTAGATGATAAAATAACATTATAAGGTCATGTGGAGCCAATCGCGGCCTATATAATCTTATTATTAACATCATAATATCACAAACTTTGTGGAAATGGATTAAGCATTTTGTTTGGTTTCATAACCTTGAAAAAGACCAAATGTAATGCTCGCAATCTCAATTCACAAGCAATCAAGTTGTATACACAGAGTTGTTTTTGACATTACAAAGGAGCATACTATCTACTACTAAGATTCTTGTAGGGAAAGCAATAAAGAAAACCACTTCTTTACAGTAGAAGAAAACTTAGAAAAGGAAAGAGAGCAGGAACGAGGAGGCGAGGCAAGCAATCATATGGAAGGAGGTGCCTGACACAAGTGTTGCGGAAGCAGATGTGGTGGTTCGAGGCCTTACTCTTGCCCTTCTCCTTATGAAAACTCCGAGCTTCCTCGTTACACCAGCTTCGTCATCGTTGTGACCTGAACACAAAAGAAGAGACTGAGACAAGAACAGGAATAAGAAGATCGATAGGATGAGTAAGCGTTTGATGTCACCCATCTCTGCTATTAAGATAAGATATGGCTTTGGCTATTCGCAGTGATTATAAATAATCCTTGTATAGTTGAAGAAGATTAATTTTTTGTTGGATGGATATATTCATAAAGTTTAGTGGGGATGATTAAGAAATGAGATGATAAAACAAAATTATAATGTCATGTGGAGCCAATTGCAACCATAATTGACTAGCTGGAGCGATTATCAGCCAAAGATCTAAAGGCGAAAGCGAGTCTTTCCAGTTCTCACTATTTCCTCAATGATATGATTACCAAATCAACTATTGTTGTTACCTTTAAGGCAAAGTCAAGCAACTTGCTTTTCACAATTCACACATCATTCTTTGATGAACTAAAAAGGGGTCCAAAATAAAAGAAAAAAAAAAATTAATGGTCTTAGATGCTAACCTGTAAAGGCATCATTCTGGGTAGGCAAAGAGTTTGTCCAAAATGGCTGGCTCCACCTCTCGGAAAGATGTGACCTGACCAACTCTTTTAGCTAATTCCCCTGTGACTCGGTCCATGTAAAGAAGATACAACCCATTTCTTTCTTCCAATGCCGCTACTGCTTTCCTCGCATGGACCACTGATGCTATCCACTCCTCAAACACAACTGCGGATCAGAAACAACTAATCTCAGCATCATTTGTGATTCTTTCTGTAATCTCTATAATTGCAATTTTGTCAGCCCAGGTAGGAAACTATTATAATCTGCAAAAAGAGCTTATAAATAGAAGGGAAAAGAAACACTTTGTAATAGCTAGAGAAAAAAATTTGTTTTATCAGAGCCAGGTTTCGATCCTGGGACCTGTGGGTTATGGGCCCACCACGCTTCCGCTGCGCCACTCTGATTTGTTGGTTTAACTATCAGAAATGAAATAAATAACATTTAATTTACCAGTTTCAAATGCTTCACTCTCTGCCCAGAGTAATAAATAGTCACATATCAGGAACTCAATTAGCTGCATCCTGCAGAGCCATAAGAGAAAATAATCAAGCTAAGGAGCCCCATGCATCATAGAAACACACTGTCCCATTATAATTTGAAATACTTACAATATAAACATGCACTCATCCATCTCTGGGAATGATCCATCAAATGGGTCCATAAATAGTAAACTTTCAGCTAAACTGGATATTCTGTGAGAAAGAGCAAATATTGCTCGCTGACCAATGTACGGTTCACTTCCCAGTTTACGGATCAAATGCTGGACATAAAACCCAATAGTTGTTTCTAGTTGTTTCACCTCTACAACAGATTGTAAAACACACAAAAACAAATATTAGAAATGATAACTAGAAAGAGAAAAACACATTTCGAATCATTATCAAACTGCTAAAGTTTACCATTTCTTTTAAAGGGAGTGCACATTCTTGTGATTAACTGTGTAATCATGGAACTGATAGATTCTTCAACAGATTCTAAGTTCTTCCCCATCGATATCAGTTTCTTCAGTGAAGCTTGAGCGTGCCAAAAAGAGAGCATTATTGCAAGAAAAGGAAGGACACACGTTTAAGTGCAAAGCAACTTTCTAATGAAAGGAGTTGCAGCTCAGGAATTAAATGATTTGTTTGCAACTCAGGAGTTTTGAATAATATTACCTAATATGAAATCTACAGCCTGATGTGACCAATTGCTGAAATTAGAGGCCTGCAGAATAGAAGAAACAAGTTCAAAGTTGCAAAGCATCTACGAATGCATAATACGAGAAATAGCTTAAGCAACAAAGCCTAACATTGGAGTCTGCTTCAGATAGCTCCAAGAGAAAATCTATAGATAACCTTAGCTGCTCTGCTTCCTCTTCATATTCCGGTTCTGCAGTCAACGTACCAACTCGAATAAAAAATGAACTGGTGGGTAGTAGCTAAACAGACTTTATATCTTACTTCCTTCTCCCAAGTAGCACATC